TCTTTTTTTAAATCCAACCGAAGAAGACAAAGGGACAAAGAAGAAAAGCATGTGGGATGGAAGTGGACAAGAAAGTCACAGAAGGAAGGGGAGAATCAAAAGTAGCCAGAAAAGTAGAGCATTGACAGTGTTTCATTAGAGAGGCTGGAGTTGAAGAAGGTGTTGCTGCACTACATAGAAAACCAGAGTGAAAGTCTCCTTTTCCCGGTAGTCAGAAATAGTGTGTAAAATTTACTTGGACAGACTTTATTGTCTTCCAACTGCACATTCACAATGTACATTTGAGCGAGATTTCGTTGCAAGGCTCCGAATAAAATTAATTTAAAAAAATTTCAGAATTGTAACAGCAAACACAAAAATTATATGTAGCAGCAGGATGTATCGTACCGGTGAAACAGACAATATGAACAGTGCACATAGTAACACTTACTCAATAGAGTAATAGTGCAATAGAGTTCAGTGTCCATGTAAAGTGACTAGTGTCTGTATGGAAGGGGGGATTATTGGGAGTTTAGCAATCGCATGAAAGCATGTCTTACTTTACAAAGACGCAGCTTTCTGACAATCTGTACAATCTGTGTGACTCCCCTTTATATGTTTTTTTTAATTAAGTACCAAACTGTCTATGTTTTATGTTATTATCCCAGGGTATCACATTCAAACGAGTTGGCGTACCTACCGCTAATGATATCATCAAGTCATCAAGCAAGGATGCTGTCAGGTAGGTAATTCTGGAGATTGAGAGCCAAGTTGATATATATATATTTTGTTTATGATATATGAAATTAAGATAATGAGATAATAATGAGCAAATGATGATTTTATGTTTTATTTCTTTATTTTGTCCAGGTTTCTGGACTCTGTTCCAGTCACAGCTATTGGATACTTCCGAGCGTCAGCTGAGAAGCTGATTGAGGAAAGAGGAGCGGTTGATGCTCTAGCTGCAGCCCTGGCCCATATTTCTGGAGCCACAAGTCTAGAGCAGAGGTCCCTGCTCAACTCTGATGCTGTAAGTTTGGTTTTATACTTGTCAACAACCTACACACTGCAAGTACTGAACACCAACTGCAGGATGATTGAAATTGCAGCAGCCCTGTTGATATGTTGTTGTCCATTTAGATTCCGTCGTGACTTTGTTGTGGTTTTAGGTGCTGTCTAACCCTTATATTTGTTTTTGTTTTTTTATGCAGGGTTACACCACTATGCAGTTGGTGTGTTCTCAGGAGATGCATAATCTGGGTTACGCCTGGAGAACCATCAAAGAACAGCTTGGAGAAGAGTTTGAGAACCACATTCACAGAATGACTTTCCTCAAAGACAGAACAGTATGTACACACACAAACATGTGTAAACATGTACATATGTGAGGTGCTACTGGCCGTAATAAATGCGTTATATATATATATAAATAAGAGAGAGAGAGAGAGAGACTCTGTCACTCTTAAGGGTCATCTTGTCAAATTCTACTTTTATGAGCTTACGTTCAAGAATAGGGATTTAAGTAATTTCTGTACCAGAAGAGTATATTGGATATGATGGATACAGTTATAAAGTTGAGCACGGATGTAGGATACAAATAACTGGTTTGAGATGATAGCCATTGAGTGCTGTCGTGAGATCCCACTTGGATTAGTAGTGTTTTTCCAAAATAGGCTCATAAATGAATGTAATAGACTTGGCAAATGAAAAGTAAATGGGAAACCTGGTGGTAAATCAAAATGCAAATTGAGAGAAGAAAAGCAAAACGCTAATGTGTGAAACCTTTCTGTAGGCGTGACCATGCTGTTGTAGCTCCTATCAAAAAGAGAGTGAGACAGAAACACTCAGTCTCACCCTTATTGTGTTCATTACAGGGAGTTTGTTTTGATGTCCCAGCTGACAAAGTCAAGGAGATGCAGGTGAGAACGACAGCTGTGGTGGACTGTTTATAGTGTCTTACATTTGTGAAAATGAACAGTCCAAAGTCAACTATAAATATTTTTTGTTGAAGTGGACAGACTGTGGTAGTGCTGTTAACATCCTTTTCTTGATCCTTCAACAGGATAACTGGAAGGATGGCCGCCGTTGGCAACTGACTGTAGCCACAGAGCTGCCAGAGCTGGAGGAGAAGCAGTTCAATAACCGCGGTGAAAGAGGGGGAGGGTTCAGGGGTGGAAGGGGGCGGAGCTTTGGGGGAAATGGTGGCCGTGGTAATGGGTTCCGGAGTGGCGGCGGCGGTGGTTATGGTAACAGCAGAGGAGGACAAAAACGCTACTTCAGCCAAGCTTTTGATTATTGAAGGGCTAACCTGTGGACTGATAAGACTTGACTGTCACTCATCTGGGCTGGCTGTGTGTATTTTATTATTGGCTGTCAGAGAGAGGGATTGATGTATGGCTAGTGGAAGTCTTCGTCATGATACAAGCTGAACTGTAAGCTTTCGATTAATCACGTTTTATATAGCGTACTTGTAATGACCAGTTTCCTCTCCCTGAAAATAAAGTAAACATCACATGGTATGTGAGAAAGTAGCCATTTCCTGCGGGTTTAAGATGAGATTTCTACGTACAGTATATGAACAGTACCACTGGCAGCCATTCTGGCTTTATGTGATGGCATTTAAATGAAAAGAAGAGTTTGAATGCGTCTTCCACAGAGTTTTAGGTAAAGTCTCTTTTTTGTACTGGGTGTTTGGGGAACGGGGACAGCAACCAGACTTTAGTCTTTGTCCGAGATAAAGGACACACCATTTTAACGTAAAAACTTGTGAACATGCCTTTTGTTACACAACTACACTAGATAACTGAGTGTGTAGTGCCATGAAAGTGCACCATCCTGCAGACGGTATGTCATGTAGGAGACAGTTTTTCTGTTCTGCACCTAGAGAACAGTGATAAAATGGGTGTTAACCTTTACATTTGTGCTCAGTGTCTGGTTGCTGCTTCACCCTCAGCTGAAACATCTCTCCACAAAAATATATTGGATGATTGCTTTGCAATTGCCTTTATTTAATAACTGTCTACTGCAGCCATTCGTTTGAATGAAATTACTTATTCATTAAAAAAGGTCAAATCAGGTTGTGTTTTGTCTTTTTAAAGGGCTGTGAAGTAACCATATATACACAAATGTATAACTTTCAACCTTAACTGCTTTTGGGAAACTCGATGCGTTAAACTTCAGCTGGCCTTAGAGAAAATAAAGTCACGTGCATGAATGGATAACCCGCTATATACTGTAGTTAAAATAAGCTATAAAATGTGGACTGCTTGGAGAATACACCAGACTGAGATCAAAGTAACGCAGCACCGCACAAAACAAATGATAAGGTTTTGGAACAATAGTGCTGTAGAGTTGGTACAACATATCCCTGCTTTACATAGAAAACAACAAATACAGTGGAGTATTTGATACACTGCTGATTTTGCAGGTTTTCCTACTTACAAAGCATGTAGAGGTCTGTAATTTTTATCATAGGTACACTTCAACTGTGAGAGACGGAATCTAGAAACAAAAATCCAGAAAATCACATTGTATGATTTTTAAATAATTCACTTGCATTTTATTGCATGACATAATTATTTGATCACCTACCAACCAGTAAGAATTCCAGCTTTCACAGACCTGTTAGTTCTTCTTTAAGAAGCCCTCCTGTTCTCCACTCATTACCTGTATTAACTGCACCTGTTTGAACTCGTTGCCTGTATAAAAGACACCTGTCCACACAGTCAATCAAACGGACTCCAACCTCTCCACAATGGCCAAGACCAGAGAGCTGTGTAAGGACATCAGGGATAAAATTGTATACCTGCGCAAGGCTGGGATGGGCTACAGGACAATAGGCAAGCATCTTGGTGAGAAGGCAACAAATGTTGGCGCAATTATTAGAAAATGGAAGAAGTTCAAGATGACGGTCACCTCCAGAACACCCTCCCAACTGTGAAGCATGGAGGTGGAAACATCATTCTTTGGGGATGCTTTTCTGCAAAGGGGACAGGACAACTGCACCGTATTGAGGGGAGGATGGATGGGGCCATGTATCGCTTGATCTTGGCCAACAACCTCATTCAAATTAGCTTTATTGGCATGAATGTAATAACATTGCCAAAGCGCTATATATAACACACACACACAACATAAGAACAATCAGCCCCATACATTTCATTAAACAAGTAATTAAAGCCTCTGTGTGTTGTTTTAAAAAAAGAAAATCATTCCCTCAGTAAGAGCACTGAAGATGGGTCTTGGCTGGGTCTTCCAGCACGGCAACGACCCGAAACACACAGCCAGGGCAACTAAGGAGTGGCTCTGTAAGAAGCATCTCAAGGTCCTGGAGTGGCCTAGCCAGTCTCCAGACCTGAACCCAATAGAAAATCTTTGGAGGGAGCTGAAAGTCCGTATTGCCCAGCGACAGCCCCGAAACCTGAAGGATCTGGATAAGGTGGGCCAAAATCTCTGCTACAGTGTGTGCAAACCTGGTCAAGAACTACAAAACGTATGATCTCTGTAACTGCAAACAAAGGTTTCTGTACCAAATATTCTGCTTTTCTGGTGTATCAGATACTTATGTCATGCAATAAAATGCAAATTATTTAATCATCCAATGTGATTTTCTGGATTTTTGTTTTAGATTCCGTCTCTCACAGTTGAAGATTGTACCTATGATAAAAATTACAGACCTCTACATGCTTTGTAAGTAGGGAAACCTGCAAAATCAGCAGTGTATCAAATACTTGTTCTCCCCACTGTATGCCCCACTTTAAATGATTTGTTTACACAAAAGTGAGTAAACCTTAAGTGGTGTAGTCTGCTTCTTGATCTGATATGTATTTTTATTTTTTTTTCAACCAAGTGTCAACATGAATTAGAGGGGGGAAGAAACATTTGAGAAATCGGTTCTGTATCCAGTCAAATGATGTGAAATATTCTTTTAGTGGGATGATGAATATGTAGTTATATCTGTCTTTCACAACACAGAGATTGTCCACATTTTTTTTTTTAATCAATTCAGTAGTTTCACAGGCTTTTTTTTTTTTTACAGTTCAGAAAATTCTATTCCTTTGTAAAGTCAATTGTTACAATTGGTTTAAATAATTACGCTGATGCCATATTCGTACAGTATTAAAAATGCAACACATTCATTTAAATTACACCAGAAACTATTCAGAGTATAACACATGAGGTTTACCAATAAAATGTTAAAAGTATTCTTCACTATATTTCATGTGCAAATGTCGCATTTCATAACCTTTGGAGGACTGGCAGTTTCCTGGGAGCAACGTTCAAGTATTTGATTTTTAACCTGAATTGACATAGAGCTCAGATATACACTTATTTGCTTACATCTACATTCAGCCCATTATTGTGATTCAGAAAAATGATTTTGATGCAGACACACAAAAAGAACAATCACTAGATTACACTTATTTTTCTGTAAACTTCCTGATATTACTGTGAAGTGTATCTTCTACAAGGAATTTTACAAGAAAAAATGTGTTTGGTTTTCAACCCTCCTAAATTATTGTAGAATGGGATGTGTAGTCTATACAACACCCTATATCTTTAGACCCTCGAGTCAAACAAGGACATTCAATTAGTCTGATGGACCCGATGCATTCAACCATACTTAAAATAGAATAAATACAAGTTTTCAGAACAAATACATTCAAATAAAACATTTCATCATTAAAAAGATTCCGACCCCAGATCCCATTGTGTGAAAATCTCATTTCATATTGTAAAACAAAGCTTATTGGATCTGTTATAATTGATTTCCCTTGTGCCTTTTTGCCTCCTTAGCTGGATTGTACTCAAATCACCCTAGTAGGAGGCAAAACAGATGCTGCAGAGACAAGACTAGATTATTTCCTCAAACATCAAGATTAAGACATGGCCTGTCTGATCACCTACCCTCTATGCCGTTTGATAATCAAAATGCCATATTTAGTACACAGTGAAAGCCCTTAAGTGGTAAGAGACCCGGCTGGTTGTCACTGGTGATGCCAATGTGTGCTGGTTGTTGGGTTTCACTGATTACAGTTGGTTGTTTCTGACTACAGGTCATCACTGGTAATGACAAGTCCATTGGCAATGTGGTTCTCCAGAGTCAAGCCATCATCATCATCATCATCATCCTAGGTGACAGAAAGGCGTGTGTGCGCACACACACACACACACACACACACACACACACAGAAATAAAGATCTCTTTGGCAGCATTGGTGAGTCAATAAACATGATTATCCTAACTGAATTGTTAGGATGTCAAGGGCTTTAAATGTTACACATTTTTCTTTAGACATGTTTCTTACATGTAGCTTTTGTTCTAATCAGCACACATTTAGATGATTGAAATATAGATAAAATAGAGTCAACAGCTTTTGAGAAACTGCAGAATATGCAGAAGAACAGTGCTGCAATGCATGCTGTTTAAAATACTCTAATCTTACAACTATACCAACTATATGTTCAGTGCAATTCACCACTGTGGACCTCTTTGAATATTCTCAGTTTAAAATCAATCTATCCCAAAGTTTCAATTGATTTCTTAAAATGAGTGAAACAGCGCCCTCTGGGTTAGAATGTGTGGGAAATGTCAATCAGCTTGTGGTGACAGATGGTATTGCATGTTTATAGACGAGCGTGACTAACAGAGACGAAGTCAGATGAATTTGGCGTCCCTTGATTAGTAACTTCATTCCTCTGGGAAATTCAGCAGCGTGTCAAGACTTAGCTAGAAATTGTGAAAATGGGAAGTTACTGTGTTTCACTCATATCAAACAACAGAAAGTTAACAAGGTCGTTGAAATGAAACAAACCGGGTTAGTTAGGAAGTTACCCAGAAGTGCTAATAATATGTCAGCTAAGTTATGTGCTTTTTAGCGGGACTACTTAACTTAGCTAGCTAACCATAGGAGGTTAAAATAAAACCGCTCAAAAAGACAGGATAAAGTGAAGGGAGCTACCCGGGTAAGGAAAGAAGACGAGGTCGGAGCACATGACAGGAGAGGCTTGGACAAGTAGGTGAGTCACACCCCCTCCTCTCCCCCCGCACCTGTGTCTTCCATGATATGCAGTTGTTGGTGTGCTTGTGTTGCCTGTAATCGGTTTGCCTGACTAGCTGCTGATTTCATAGTCGGGGTTATAGTGTATGGAGCCAGCTGTCATGTGTGGGTGGGGTCTTATTAATTTTATAGACGAATTACTGCCAGAATTTACCAATTGATTTAAGACTATTATGCTCTGAAGGTCATACTTATTTTGGTGCTAGTCAAGACTGATCTTCACTTTGTTTGCAACTAGGTAAGAAGATTTGCATTTCAGCCAATATGTTTATGTTAAATTAATGGGTATAGGGCTTTTTATATACAGTCCATGGTAAAACACATGTAAGTCATGTATCTATATCATACATGCATTCTTTTATTTTAACCTGCCGTTAAAGAAAACCTTGAGAATGTGGTTCATGTGTTTTAAAGTACAGTACTTAAAATCTGAGATTTGGATAGGCCTACATGTCATACTTGGTGCTTTTTAAAAAAAGTGAGCGTGCCACTTGGAGTCCTTACATTTAAGTCACCACTGCTTCATGCCACTACTAATCTATGGTCTGAAGAATGTCCTTGACTACTCCATTAACTTCATTTTGAATACATGCTCATACTTAATATACTGTATGTTTTCATTTTGGAATCCATTATTTCACTTTCTGTATTTTTAAAATGATTTATTGTTTTTGAACCCCCTTCTGTAGAATTGCCTATAATAAACTTATATTTAAATGCATATTCTATTGTGAATACACCTTACTGTATGTTAATCCTGTCATGTAGTATTTGCGCGCGAGCTGTGTTTGGCGTCTCTGTGTCAAACTCTAGAGCGGTGACAGTCCCAGTCTTTTCCAACAGTCAGTGCTTAAGTCAGTCATATACTGTGAGCTTTTTGATGTACTGCAAGCTACTTTAGTGTAGTGTGTCGTAATGTTTGGGTGTCTGAACAAGATGGCATTATGTTTTAATGTGATAGTGATTTAGATTTGTGTATAGTTATGCTCTAGTCTTTCTGTTGTCATGATGACAAGTCTGTTGCCAATTTGGTTCTCTTTCTTTGACACTATTATGTTGAGGGACCCAAGTGGCATAGTGCCTTTAATATAATCAGCCCTCTGCAAATCTTGTACCTGACAAGGATTCCAATTAAAAAACAAATTCCCTGTAGTTTTATGTGTATACCTGTGCGTGTGTTTGATATTGTTACTTACATCATCTTTCTGTTTGTAGTCTTTCTCTGTGCTGCGATAGGACACCACATGGATCAGAGTGTAGATCCTGCAAACAGAGAGGCACCAAGATGAAACACATATTATGGTACAAAAGATCCCATTATAATTCACCTTACATTTGTTAATGCTGCTCATAGTGGGGGAAAATATTCAGTACCAGTTTAAAAACTGATATAGTTTCTTTGCCAATGAATCAAATCTCCAACATCTGAAAGTTTGGAAGTTTTCCTGCATCGTTTTCAAGGTCAGTCTGAGTTAGCTGTGAAGCTATCAAATATATAGTCTGATTTTACACCTCCAAGTGTTTTGAATTCAGTGGGCGTGTGGCACATACACAAGTTTTTGTGTGTGTGTGTGTGTATATATACCTGTGATATAACATGGCCAGAAACTGGATAATGAGAAGAATTGCAAAAGACAACAGGAACATCAAACTGACAGGCTCCACCTGTTAACACAAAATTACAGTAAAGGTGATACAGCGTTACAGCAGTTATGACAGACATTCAAAAATACCTCACAGTTCTTGCTCCTTTAACTATTTCTATTTGCAGCATGTGCATCTTGGACTAACCTTGAGGGGTTCGTCAGATAAAGTACCATTTGGAAAGTATTTAGGGATCTTGATGCTGATTACATCATTTCCAATGGCCTGCAGGAAGAAGGTAGCCACCACCCACAGCACGTTGACGATGAAATACAGGAATACTGCCTGTAGGGATGAAGGAGTATTTAATGATGTTTCTTAAGTCTTCATACTTAAGCAATAGCTCACGACAGGCCGTGGTATACGCTTATTATATCACCGTTAAGGGGTGTTGTACCGGCAATAAAGTCCTTCTCTAAAATGTCTCTGGCTGGCAACCTCCTTAACTGTGACAAAATAAGCATATATCACGGCCTGAAGTGAGCTATTGCTTTTATAAAATGGTTACCAAGTATGGCAGAAAGAAAGTAGGCTAACAGATGCACTACAATTTGACTTTATTTCGTCAACAGACATTTCTTTTTGAATACAAAAAGTAGTCCCACCAGGCTGCCGGTAGGCTACATAGCGCATGACGGTAGCTACATACATCAAAGGCTAGAATTATTAGGATTTTTTATTTATATGTATTTGCACGTTGCCGTTTGTTGTGCAGCCACTAAAAAACTGTCCATTGTCAGGAGATTGACTTTGGTAACTTGAATTTATATGAAAATATGCTTGCTACTGTGTGTTGGAGGCCAGCAGTGCGTAAAATAATAACACTTTAATATTATACCTACCAGAAATAAGTCACAAAAAATCTAGACAAATTGTTTGAGGCAATATAGAAATAGTATTAGCATCTTGTAACCTACTGTGGTTTGTCCATGTGGCAACAAACATGTCTTTAAGTTGATGTAAAAACATATTTTAAGGAAAGCAAAAGAGCTGTACAGGAAATAGTCGTTTTTTGAAAGAAATAGTTTGGGCAGAGCTCCTGGCTCTGTTCAATAAGGAAATGATTCCATGGCATCCCAGCACCTGAAGCCCACTGTGCATTGGAAGCTATCAACTTTTGTTATGTCCATCCATTGTTCAAAATCTTTAAGCATATTAAAGGCTGCACTACAGAAGGAAAGAGATGAATGGCTTTTCAGCTCTTGCTTGGCTGAAGGAATTTTTTCCTTCACTTTCTAAGATGTTATCGCATGTGCACTTTGGGAACACCCTGATGCGAGTGGCTTGACAGTGGCCAAAGTCAAACACACACCAATTAGGAGAGCCATAAACAAAAATAGATAGACTAATTTTCTGTTTGACATGTCATTGGCCTTTCACTTTCTGTAGTATACCCCTCAGTAGGCTCACTCCCAGTACAGACCAATGTTATAATGAATATTAGAAAATAAACCGCCATAATACATTGGCAGTATTTCAAGGTCCAAAAAATAAAAATGCATATTTCATGTGAGGCAGAATTCATGCCACAAACACAAAAAACAGACCCATTTGCACAAACATTAATTGCAGAGAGCTCACCTTGTTGCGCAGTGACTTTAGTTCTCTGGTGACTTCCTCCAGATGTGCTTTATTGTCCTTGATAGGCGTCAAGTAGCGCTCGATTAACTTGTTCCAGAAGTCGTGTTCACCCTAAACACATACGTGAGCAGATGCATGCACACAATGAATTTGTTAGGATTTATTTAAATTAAGTGAAACTACCTTCATTAATGTAATCATTATACGTAAAGCTAACAATGCTAAAACATTACCCTGTGTAAGACAAGGGGCCTGTACCATGAAGCAGGAACTGAGCTTAGCGAGGTTACCTCGGGGTTAACCCCGGGTTTTCAGTACCTGAAATGCTGGTTCACTTTTTACTTGGAGCAGGTTATTTTCCAGATAAGAGATCAGCTTTATAAAGACATATAGGCTGCTTTTATGTTTGCTGTGGTGATACAAAGAAACTGTCATCCTACAGAGACTGATTTAAGTAGGCTACTCAAGCCTTGTAGGCTGCTACTTGTTGTAGGTTTTTAACGTATGACAGTAAGCCTACTTACCACTTTGAAATGTGTTTGATATTTTTTATATGCTCCCATGTCTGTTTCACACAGCCTGTCGCATGGGTTTCATTTTTCTTATGTGAGGCTCAGTATTATGCAGATGTGTTAAGGAGTGCGTTCCCTCAGCTGAACGCACTATTATGAGCATAGTAGGCATATAGAAATTAAGTTTAATATAAATTGGTTTATTTTAGGTTAGTAGCTATCTTGTATTATGCAGACTTGTCATGTCCCGCCCAACCTTTTGCTATATGGGCACAGTTTTCTGTAGCCTACATTGAGATTGAGATTCAGTCTTTCACCACTAACGGAGCAGCTTTTATGGCATGAATGGATTTTAGTTTCATTGCTTTATGAAGTTATTCATCTACTTTTTGTAGTGATGCGAAGTTATTAAAAGTGAGCTGGAACGACCGCTTATTCAGTACCTGAGGCTTTTAATGTGGAAACGCCGACACACAGCCAAGCTAAAAGAAGAAAGCTAAAATTAACATACACGCCATGAATATACATCTAAGCAACACATTATTAGGCAATAGGCTGTACCTTTTCATTTAGGCATTTACACTGTCGGCGATATTCTGTCTTCCTGCATGTCAGCTACAGCTGTGTTACTTAGTCTATGTCTTTTTCTCTAATATTACAGTTTGCATTTGTAAAATATGACGCTCTGCTGCCAGTAGACTTGTCCATGTTTGCAAATGGTCATCAGCTGCTAACACTGCCTCTTTTATGTGAACACGCTCATGGCTGGATTGGGAAACCCTGGGATGACTTACTGAGTTTATAACCAGCTTTGTGTGACCGCTTATCTCAATCGCGATTATTAGAGTTAGTGAAGCCAGATAACAAAAAGATATCTGTGGATGTTGAACTTGCTTCATAGTACAGGCCTTAGGGCCCTGTTTCAGAAAGCAGGATTATTGATAACTCTAGGATGTTAAGCCTGAGATGAGGGAAACTCTAAACCATCAGTTGAACCCTAGATCAGTAACTCCGGCAATTTATGTTGTGAACCCAACCTCAGAGGTTTTCTTCAACAAACTCTGAGCTTCTCTCCGACTCTTCCTAGCTGTCTGACGTAACGTTTCACTTCCTCATTCACATTGTCAAAGAACTTATAGAACGCATTCATTTGCAGAAGTTTACGTGTTTAGAAACTTTGAAAGATAGATACTAGTTGGCTACCCAAACACGATAGAGTACACGACCGCTTTGTGATCAAGCTGTCATCGATGTAAGGACAGAGACCGCAGTCTCTGGACATCTTGGATTCATCCTCAGCACAAAATAAAATCTACAGGCTACACTGTTCTTCTTTAACACTGTGACTCTGTGGGCATTAAGGCAGCAGTGAGGTTGTCAGAAGTTGCACTGAAAGATTTAGTGTGGGCTACATTACTGCAGTAATGGCTAGTGTTGTAGTCAAGACTGCCCAAACCGAGACAAGACCAGAGTTTATCGAGACGAAGTCCAGACCAAGACTTTTAGGGGCTGAGACCAAGTCAAGACCAAGACCGAGGGAGGGCGAGACTGAGTCAAGACCAAGACCAGGTTGCATTTGAAGCTATAAGTTTATCAAAGTTTGGATGTTAACAAATAAATCAGACAATGCAAAAGCAATTTACTGATATTCCCAAAGTTATAGTCTGGACTGGTCTTGAAATAAAATCCAGAGTCCTCAATATCCGAGACTGAGACAAGACCAATTACAAATGCTGTCTAGTCCAAGACAGGAACAAGACCATCAAAAAGTGGTCTTAAGACCGGTCTCGAGACCAAGACCGATCTCAAGTACTACAACACTAGTAATGGCTACCCCTGTCCTGCCAGGCCGTCCTTGTAAATAAGAAGTTCAATCAAACTAATCTGTATGAAGCTGTAACTCATCAATGAACAATCATTTGTCATTGTGATTAGTTGCACTAATGGAACATTCCTATAGTAGTTATCATGGTAGAGATGATGTTGAGGATGATTGTGGTGCAGCTGAAACAACTAAGATTCGAGAACTGGACTGAATGTAGTTTAAAAGTGAGTTTATGAATATTAGCAACTAGTCTTAATGTGTTTTGTCAGCATTTCATTAAATGCGAAATGACCAATATTTTTTTAATGTAAAATAGACAGCAAAAAATGTACAGTCAGTTTGAACCTAGACACATTCTTCAACAGCAAATCAGAAAAATCCCAGCCCTGAATGTGCAACTTACCTCATCTAGATTTTGAACTTGCGGGGCGGTGAGTGTTTTCTCGATGGCTCTCCTTACTCTCTTCTCTAATCTCTCCATTCGACTGGTCTTAAGGATACGCCGAGCCTGGGAGAGAGAAAGTCAATTAGTCAGTGATTTAATCATTCCTCTTCTGCAAGAGCTTTTAAGTTTGGTTTTCATCAAATCAGAACCCTCTGAAATAGAAGCATGCGAATGTGATATAATACAGTTATACATTATACAATTTATTTTTTAATATGACAAAAGTAATGTTAAAGGAAATAAAACTAGAATAGCTGTGCTATTGCTGCCAAACCTATCACACATTATAATTTCTCACCAATCAATCTTAATGTCCTGCTTTGTTCACTCATAGAGCCGAGTCCATTCCATGGACTTGAGGCTGCAATGAGGGTGTGATGGATTTATCTGATGGATAAGGTCCTCCTTAAAATGTGAGCCGTGCTAAGGAGGACGATCTTCTGAATTTCTTGTATCTTAATGTGTCCAGGGATTTTCTTGGTTTATTTTTATTTTTGACCAGACCAAGAGCACCTATTACCACTGGTATTGTTGTGGTCTTCAGGGAGGTGTTGCTTTCGGTGGGGACAATGTCAATGAGCAGACAAGTTCTCTCCTTCACTATTACGTGGGCTCTGTTGGCCTTGGTTTCTGTATCAGTTTGAATTGGTATATCCCAGATTATAGTAGCTTCATCATTGTCTGTTACAGTTGACGGCTTATGCTCATAGTATTTGTCCTTTACTTTGATGTTGTAGTATTATTATTATTGTTGTTGTTGTTGTTGTTATTATTACCTGCTCTGACAGTGCATATCTTAACTCCTCAAGCTGGTTGTCTGACAGAACATCTTCAGGCCCCACTCCACTTAGCTCTCCACTAAGAGTGTCTGTTAACATTAAGACCAACTCCTCACACACATCATCCTGATCTTTGTTACGGAGTGTGTATCTGAGGACAAGAAAAGCACAAACAAATTACAGTATTTCTTCAACTATTAAAACACTGAATATAAGTTTTAAATCTGTCCATGAGCTCATCTAAAGCTCATGTGAACATAAACATGTATAGAAATGCATACAACTTAGTTTGTTAATTTATTTACCGTGAGTGATATTCAGTGTTTTGTGCAAACATTGCCACATGTGTTGTGGATATTACATACAAAATTGTACATTTCTTTGTATAATACTTATTTACCGTATTTGTTCTTGTAGATTTCTCTTCATGTTGGCATAAGTCAGCTTCTTTAAAAACTCTTCTTTCACCGGGACCACCCAGTCTATACACACACACATACAGATAATGTCATTACAGTATGTATGTATATATAGGTCCATCTCAGAAAATTTAAATATCACATTCAAATGTGAAACTTATAACATTTTATATTCTAGATTCATTCCACATAGTGAAATATGTCATTTTAATATGGCATTTTTTTGTTTTAATCTTGATGGTAGCAGCTTACAGTTCATGAAAATCAAAAATCCATATCTCAAAATATAAGAATATTAGAAAAAAGAATGTGTAATACAAAAATGTTGACTTTCTGAAAAGTGGAAAAATTATGAAAAATGTTAATTTATGCACTCTTGCATGAACTACTGCATAAGTGCGGGGTGGCATGGAGGACCCTGCTGAGGTGTTACTGAAGCCGAGGTTGCTTTGATAGTGGCCTTTAGCTCGTCTGTATTGTTGGTCTGGTGTCTCTCACTTTCGTCTTGACAATCAATAGATCCTCTATGGCAGTGGTTGGCAATAGGCGGCCCGCAGGCCAGAACCGGTCTGCCAGCAATAATATTTGGCCCGCGGCCAGATTGCTTTGATAGCAGAAAAATAAAAAATAAATAAATTGATAGTGGCTGGTGCTGAAATAGATCTCAGTCATGACAGCAACAGTTACACACACAATCACTCCCTCTTAAGTGATTGTGCCTCCAAAATAAAAGTGCTAGAACATTTTTTGCAGCAATGCTTTGTTGAGTTTATTGAGAGCTTTTACTTTGAAGAGTTCTGACGGACATTCAAAAGACACTCTGGCCTGCTTGACACACCTCTGAAAAAGCCGTCCGTAAACTTGTGATTGGATTCCCCTGAATTTCCTCAGGGAAATGAAAATAAGCGTCTATAGGTTTATGAATGCGGATCAAACGCTGGGACGCACACACACTGCAGCACAGGCTTTATTGTGAGCATGCGCAAAAGTGTCCTTATAATCAATTTGTTTAACAAGGGAGAGAAAAATATCCGTGGTTAACTGGAATTGATCTTAAAACCTTCCTAACAGGAGTCCTGCACAATACCAACTGAGCTAAATGTGCACCCGAGTATACAAGGATTTGAAATAATTTGACTTTGTTCTGGCCCTAAATGAACTGCAGAATTCACTTTCATCTGTGCATGGTGGCTCTTGATGCTCTGACTCCAGTCTCAGTCCACTCCTTGTCAAACTTCCCCAAGTTCTTGAATCGGCTTTGTTTCTCAATCCTATCGAGGCTGCGGCCATTCCTGTTGCTTGTGCACTTTTTCCTTCCATCAACTTTCCATGAATATGCTTTGATACAGCACTCTGTGAACAGCCAGCCCTTTCAGCAATTGCCTTTTGTGGCTTACCGTCCTCAATGAGTGTCTTCTGGACAACTGTCCAGTCAAAAGTCTTCTTCATGATTGTGGTTGTATGTACTGAACTAGACTGACAGATTAAAGGCTCTTCTCAGGCTCTTTATTCTAATATTCTAAATTTTTGAGAGATGGATTTTTGATTTCAATGAGCTGTAAGCCTTAATCAGTAAGAAAATAACAGGCCTGAAATATTTGACTTTATGTGTAATGAATCTAGAATATATGAAATTTTCACTTTTTGACTTAAATTAGGGAAAACCTTTTCCACTATATTCTAATCTTCTGAGATGCACCTGTAGTATGACGCATACTGGGTTCTACATAATGAGTTGTATGAATTACAGTATGTGGTATTCAGGGCAAATACACAGTTGAAGTGCTTCTCACCACTGACAGGACGCTTCTCTGTTTTCTCTAGGTCGGCAGTCATAAAGTCTTTGTCATACTCCTCATCACTTTCATCAGATGCACTCTCTGATAGGCTCTTTTTTTCAATGCTGTCATCACTGCACACAAGCATAGACATTTTTGTGAATGTTGGGTAGTTAAAGTGTATACATGTTTTTGTCCTACAAGGACAGAGGATAATCAAAATGTAAAAGAACAATCAAGTGTCCTCAGCCTGGGACTTGAACAGTACTGTACTCTGTTTGACGTCAGCAGTAGAGGTGAGTTTGTGTGCATGGGTGCATCTTACAATGAAAAATAACATGAGTTTGGTTGTTTGACTAATCAGTGATAAACAGAAGAGAAGAAAGACAACAAAAAAATACCTGCCACTGGAAGCATCACCATTGCCTTTTGCTGCCTTCCCGTTCAGTTTGTCAGTTGGCGATTTCTTAGCATCTTCCACAGCTTCCTTGGTTGTTTTGACTTCAACTTGAGGCTCTGGCTTCGCAGCTGCCTGTTGAGTTATTTCCTGGTTGGTAATTGGTAGAGGAGGGGCTTGCTCTGCAGTCTGGCCTGTGATCTGTCGAATCATCAAGTTCTCTGTTTCCTGCGTTATCTGTAAAGCAACAGGATAAAATAATTGATTTTGTCCATTGATTCATCCAGTGGAGGGCTTGTCAGTAGATGTTTCGTAAAAGCACCTGTATCTTCATGTCCCAGCAGCACAATCTACAGTTTCTGTCACACAGAAGATTGTGGTTTTTCTTCACTACTCCGTCTCCCCTGACAGACAGACAGACAGAAAGATAGACATTCAGAAAAAAACTTTACACACATTAAAATACAGGCAGATACAGTGAGTGATTGTTGAATGCAGGTTGGCATAAATGAAAACATTAATTCCCCGCTGGCTCCTCATATGTTGGATAAGTGAATCATTGGTTAACGATAGCGTGGTCTCACCTGGACCTGAAACGGATAAAATACGCAAAATGGATGGATGACTAGATGGATTTTAAATTCTACATAATTTTACAGTATCACATATTGTATACCCTCAACCCACATTTTTTAAGACTTTTAGTTGGTTTACTATAATAGGCTATAGATTGTATATTTTATTACTTGTCTTTAGCTTATATACTTTATACAAAAACGGGTTGATTGATTTAAATTATTGCTGTATCACATGGATTATTATTATTTGGATGTTGATACTACTACTATGTCCTATGGTCTGATGAGACCAAGATAAACTTATTTGGTTCAGATGGTGTCAAGAGTGTGCGGCGGCAACAAGGTATGGAGTAGACAAGTGAGTCTTCCCTACAATCAAGCATGGAGGTGGGAGTGTCATGGTGCCGGCGGCTGCATGAGTTCTGCCCACACATTTGAGCTACAGTTCATTGATAGAACCATGAATGCCAACATGTACTGTGACGTACTGAAGCAGAGCACGATCCTCTCCCTTCGAAGACTGGGCCGCAGGGCAGTATTCCAACATGACAACGACCCCAAACACACCTCCTAGACGACCACTGCCTTGCTAAAGAAGCTGAGGGTAAAGGTGACGGACTGGCCTCCAGACCAAACCCCTATTCCACGGTTTAGACATTAATGGCTGTGTGATGTGTTATTTTTAGGGGACAGCAAATGTCCACTGTTATACAAGCTGTACACTCACTACTTTACATTGTAGCAAAGTTTCATTTCTTCAGTGTTGTCACATGAAAAGATATGATCAAATATTTACAAAAATGGGAGGGATGTACTTTTGTGAGATTCTGTATATGTACATCAGAAAAAGCTCTCTGACTCTCTGCATGTTTAACCCATAATCCTACTGAACATCAAATGCTGTGTGTATTTAGTTAACGACATAAGCTGTACTTTGAAGAACATGTCTGGTCGATCTGTGGCATATTATTTATAACACGAACCACTTTCCTAGTGGATGCACCCAAGATTGCCACTCATACTACTGCGATTTCACTTTGTCTGCTACTGTTCATACTGCTTTTGTTCCCCCTAATTCTACTTTTAAATGACCACTTCTCCCCTTGCAACAGTTATCTTTACTGTTACAACTAACACCATTAGTGCTGAAATCAGAAGACCGCCATCAACTAACAGACTAGCTTTAGATTAATAGATGATTAGATTCTTAAATTGGAGGGTTGTTGATTGTCTTTACTTAATATCATTGTAAATTAAGTAATAATTAAGTAATTAAGTGGGGCTACAAGCAGAGTTTCAGGAGCGGGACCACACATCAATGACGTCACTCCTGGCTTTCCATAAATACCCACACAACGCACTTCCTCTTCTTCGCTCTCGCATTCTGCAACCCTCCTGCCCACCCCTTTCTCTGTCCGGTCTCTCTCCTCATCTCCGTCCGTCGTGCCCGGGCGCTATGGCGGATTTCCCATCGTAGCTTCCCCACAACGCTTTCGAATGTCTATTCAGCTACTGCAAGCATCATACATTTTCTGTTTGTTTATCAAATAATTCATTTAATCGTATCTGTTGATTGTGGTCCTTGCTAGTGAAAGGATTAATCAATTATTGTACTGGTCCTTCTAATAATGATCAGTGTATTACTTGTTTGATTCCCTCGTGCCCCAGGATACAATGTGCATGTTAACCAGTGAGTAGATGGTCAGTAGGAGGTATCCACTGGGGATACAGATGAAGTACATCAGACCATAGATAATCATCCCTGGAGGAGAAAATAACATAAAATAACATAACATAAAGCTGTTAACATAACATAATGCTGTTAACGTAACATAACAAAGCGTAACATAACAAAGCTGTTAACGTAACATAACAAAGCTGTTAACGTAACATAACAAAGCTGTTAACGTAACATAACAAAGCTGTTAACGTAATGTAATGTAACATAACATAAAACTGTTAGAATAACATAAAACTGTAAAACATTATTTTTATTTATTTATTTATTTATTTTTATTATAATATAACCATACCAAACTCCTCTGGATGTAGTATAGCTGTCACCATGTACATGATTGCCATAGAAACCAAAAACAAGCCAGTGGGGGTCAGGAAGGTGCCCTGAATCACCATGTCACCTAAAAGGGGATGTGTATGTGCATTTAGGAGTTTAAAATACATTTACTTACATTTTATAAATCATAATTTAAAAGAAAATAGCACACACAGTAATATGAGAGATGATATGAAGAGTTTCTACCTACCGATGATAGAGAAGAAGGATGCAGTCATGAGGAACGCGTACAGAACACTCATAATGCCAGCGATGGTTATTTGGAGATTAGCCTTGGCTACAAAACAGACGATGATGTAGAACACAGGAGGAATGCTTGCGATGATGATGGAAAGTGTTCCAGTGATTTTGAAGACAAATTGGAAAGCACCTGGCAGGAAATGGCATAGAGAGAGAGGGGAATAATTAAGGAGCAGATGCAGGTAAATGGACTTGGATGATCTTATTAATACAGAAAGATTATTAATACAGATCTAACAGTAGGACACCCATTGGGTCACCATGTAAAAAATGGCAACATGGCACCATTAGAGTTTATTCTACTTTTATTCTAAAGTCTGCTTTGATTTATGCCAAGTCCATGGAAGTCCTTCTTCCAAGATGACTGCCCATTCATTCCTAGAAAACTGACAGAATTAGCAGTTGTAAAACTGACCTAAATTGTAGCTAGCTGCTGAGGAAACATTCAACCCTCACTGAACCCACAACCCCCAAAAAGGAAAGGCCTGCAGAGTAATAACCTAGACTGAACCTACCTGCTATCATGAGTGTCACAGAGGCCGGACCAAGGATAGAAGAACCAACAGTGAACATCTGATAGAAGATGTAAAGCCTGGAGATGGACGAGTTTCTCTTCACTGTCTCTGCACCGCTGCAATTTAAGTCACCACAGAAAAGTTTATATTAATAGTCAAAGTGTCATAGTGAACAACTGATTGAGCCTCTAGATGACCCTGAAACACCAGAACAAAAGTAGAATCGAACTAATACATAGTTTTTAGAATTTTAATTTGGATTAAAAAAATCAGTTTAAGTTAGAAAGTACCTGTCCAAGGATATAAACTGCGCCATTACTTATAATAAATGACACTAACCTGTGCAGAAGGTCCAGTGTATTAGCCAGTGTAGATGGTCCCCATCGTCTTCTCTGGTTATAAAACTCTTTGAACTCCTGTGGTGAGTTGGTGTATGCATCTGATGCAGCATTGTATTCGACACGCCACCCTTGCTGCAGTAACAAAGTACACAGCCAACGATCCTCCCCTAGAAGCGTATACATGCACACACATGTGAGAAATGGACGTGAAAAGTCAGAGAAGAATGTTAAATAGACAAACTTAGGTGAGGTAAAATGGTTGGTGTGTCTGTGTGTGTGTGTGTGTGTGTGTATGAGCCAACCTTGGTCATATTGCACATACTCCGAAGCTCTGTTTGCAGTTGTTGTGTATCTCTTCAGTACATTGTCATCCATTAAGGCCGAACCTCTGAACAGACTGAAACATCCTGGACTGCACAGCACAGAGCCAAACACATGCTCTGCTGTCTTCTGTAGCCAGTGGCCTACTGCATACTCAAACTTCTGGTACCATACCATGGGACCTGGGATGGCAGGTAGGCAGGCAGGCAGTGTGATGAGCAGACAGCGAGAGAGACAAAGGAAAGGATGAGACAAATGAGAGACAATATTCATGTTGAAGGTTTTGAAAGCTGAAGTCTATCCCAGCATACAGTGGTTGAATGCTGGACAGGACCAGTCCATCACACACAGACAGACAATTAACCTGCCCAACTCGCAACCTTACTACCTTTTGACAAATTACCTTCATAAAACCTTCTTACGTTTTTTGGACTATATGAGGAGGATGCAGATGACACTCAGAAAGCACCAGTGCTGGGAACCTTTGATTACTGCTACAAAAATAGACATTTTCAATGAATAACTACAATATTTAATGAAGTTCCTATCTGAGCAACCAACTGAGTCATGAATAATATTTGCATGGTACGGATGAAAAATATGATGGGACAGTAATTCATCCCATGACTATAATATTTACCATTGAAGGATACAGTTTGGTGTGCTTACCCTCTGCAACTAGATTACAAAGTCCTGCTAGTAGATAGTTTGCTTTACTATACTGTGCTAAATAGATCCAGTGGAAGCTACCTCATAACCCTAGCTCATGCTGTCCCAGTTACTCTGTACTGGCTGCAGGTGCAGGCAGCACAGAACAAGCAACTTAAAGTAAAATCAAGGTCTTAGTCTTGTTGGTAGACCAACATGAACCTTGTTTGATTGAGAAACTGTGCCAAATGCACACAGGACAAACACATACATAAAAGAAAAGTCTACTTACCCATACCAGTAGGATGGATTCTACCACACGCTGCACCTACATTATCATACATCCTTAACCTGTCAATCAAAATACATTTGTGAATTAGTAAATGTTTAAAAGCAGACCGTAATAAATTATATCCAATAATAGCTAAAAAATAACTGACTGAATGTCAAACAAAAAACAAAACATCTACACTAACAGCACTGAAACTAAAAGCATTTCCTGTCCACCAGTTAATATCAGTGATTTACGTTGGAAAACGATGAGATCCCATGATCCCCATGATAGTATAAATCCCTTGGCTGATTTGTCTGTCACTTACCTGTCTACGAGCAGAATTACAGCTTTAGGTTGGAAGTCAGTGTCTCCGTCCAGAGCCAGGATGTAAGTGTGTTCATCTGAGATGAATTTTCTCTTGTTGTCATTGTCATACTGAGGCAACAGGAAAATCTCACCATCCAAAGAGACCAAACTGGCTCTGCATGGGTTATGCTGGCGCTGGACACAGATAGATATTTTACATATTTAGATATTTCATACACATACTGTCAAAGTATTAATATGTGCACATTTTACACAAAATGCAGAAAAATCTTACTGAGATCTTCTGAGGGTTCTTGACAATGTAGCCCTTCCAGCCGAGTAGATAATACATATACATTATCTGAAAGTCATATATGGTAATGTAAAGAGTGGAAATGGAAATAGTGTATATGTCTCACAGAAACAGAGGTGACTTGTCAATTATTTATTTATTTTTTGAGTGACGTAATGAAATTGTGGTTGAAGGAACCATAATACAAATAGAAAAGACAATCTAATTGTGTCCGCAATATTATAAAGCATATTTAAAATTTTAACATTGCTACAGTTACAGTAGAGATGTTTATTATCATCATAGTCTCTGTATAGAAAGGCCTAAGCTCATTATCAATATTCACATGTGTATTTAAAGCAATAGAGATCTTCATTTTGCAATACAAAGTTGAGCTGAAACAATTAGTCGATTCATTGATTAGTTGATTAACTGTCGATGTATTGCTGACTATTTTATAATTGATTTATTGTTTAAGCCCTTTTGAAGAAAGTATGTAAAAGATTAGCTTATTCCAGCATCTGGAATGTGATTTTCTGTTTTTCTCTGTCATATATAAGAAAATTGAAAATGTTTGGGTTTTGACAAAACCAGCAGGAGATTTTTTTTAGCAATGCCACTTTTGGCCTCTGAATAACATCTCGTACCACGACACCTTTAGGATTTACACAAACATATATAGCAATATACAGACACACATAATACCGCTACTACCACTAGGTATACTGCTCCATACCTGGGACCATCTTTTTTTGTTCCTGATGCGTTCTTTGTCTTTTAAGTGAATATAGAGCATGTTGCCTTCTGGCATTACAAACATCAGCCTGCCACCGTAGGGAGCCTCAATGATTGACACATCATCTGGTTCTTTGTTGGTAAACACCCTGAATGAACGGATGGATTGATTGTTGGTTTCATAGATGGATTGATCGATATATAGATGGATAGTAGATAGATAAATAATCTTACCTATAAACCTCTATGACAACATGGATCAAGTCATTAACGTAAGAATTAACCAGCCTCTTTTCTGTGTCCTTTTCAGTCATGAAGGCATCGTCAACATAAATGTGACACTCAAAGTCAAAACAGTCCTTGTGTTCCTCCTTTGGATCGCCTCGATAGCGGTCCAGCCTGAAACGGCAACAAATGACTATAGCAATACTGCAAAATACAGCAAGTATTTTCTTCTTCTGTACAAACCATCAAAGCAATAAAGGAAATAAATAGGAGAATGCAATTTCAAATGTTAAACAGCACAGAGGTTTTAGCATTTTAGTATCTCAATTCATAAGCAAATCGAGCGGATAGAATTATAATATAATATTTAACATTTAAAGAGCAACATAACACCAGGCTGAAAAGCTTTTTTTCGCTGCCTCTCTGGTTGAAAATATCACGTCTCTTGCTCTGACCAGAAGTGCAACCATTATGGTTAAAAGAAAAGTTACCGAAAAGTGGCACTTCATAGGAAAGGGGGTGAGGAGAGATTTACTTTTTTTTGACTGTGACGCTAGTACAATGAGCTGCAGTGTTTGCTGCAGGCAGGCTCCAAAATTAACACTCCCAAATTTTGGATTTGCCAGATAAACAAATAGGGGTCACTAGCCATGTGGCTGGTAAATTGTTTGAAATCAATATAGGGCCAGGTCTACTTTGCTGTGTTTTTACTGGCTGAGACTAATGTGACACTCACGGTCTACTGTACCTATCGCGACATCAGGAAAGCATCTCACTAATTGTGACTCTGAGGTAGGCAATATGAAATATTGCCAAGTATAAATATGAGAACACTTTTTTTAACTGAAGCCTGTAGCCTCATTAACATGATAAACAGTGTGGGGTTCATAATAATAATAATAATAATAATAATAATAATCTTTATTTGTAGAGCACTTTTCAAAAACAAGTTACAAAGTGATTTAACAAGTGTAAAGACAATAATACCCAAGAGACAATAATACAAAAACAATACAAGATAAAAGCATGAAAACATTGAAAAGACTAACGTTTAAGATAAATATAAAATAAGTAAAATAAAATAAAAGGGATAAAATAAAGTCAAATAAGATCGGGAAAGGCTCTCCTATAAAAGTATGTTTTAAGAAGGGACTTAAAAGAGTTCACTGACTCAGCTGACCTGATTTCCTCGGGCAGGCTGTTCCAGAGCCTCGGGGCCCTGACAGCAAACGCTCTGTCCCCTTTAGTTTTCAGTCGAGACTCTGGAACAGACAACAGACCCGAGGATCTCAAGGTACGTGCTGGTGTGTATGGGACTAAAAAGTCAGAAATATAACAGGGCGAGAGGCCATGAAGAGCTTTAAAAGTAATCAATAGAATTTTAAAGTCAATTCTAAAACATACTGGGAGCCAGTGTAATGAAGCTAAAATATGAGTAATGTAGTCATATTTCTTTGTTCTGGTTAAAAGCCTGGCAGCTGAGTTCTGGACAGTCTGGAGTCGATCAGTAGATTTTTGGGTTAAACAGGTGAAAAGGCTGATGCAATAATCCAGGAGTGATGAGATGAAGGCGTGTAAAATGGTCTCGGTGTCCTTAAAAGTTAACATAGATCGAATTTTTGCTATATTTCTAAGTTGATAAAAACATGATTGAACAACCTTTGTGGTGTGCTGCTCGAAATTTAAATTACTATCAAACCAAACACCAAGGTTCTTTGCAACAGGCTTAATGTGATTTACTAGGGAACCAGCAGATGGCAGTATTTGTTTTGCCATCTGCTGGGACCCAATGACCAGGATTTCTGTTTTGTCTGAGTTTGGCTGGAGGAAATTATTTGACATCCATTTTTTAACTTCACAAAGGCAGTTGTTAAGTGAAATGCCATGTTTATGGATAATATGTCCAAGGGGAAGCAGATACAAGGAAAACAAAATGTGTCCTAAGACCAACCCCTGAGGCACACCATATTTAACTGGAGAGAACAAAGAGACATAGTTGTCTACAGACATGCAAAACTTCCTATTTGACAGGTAGGATGAAAACCATTCTGGGGCAGTACCAGAGATCCCCACCCAGTGCCTCAGTCTGTCTAACATGATGTTGTGATCAATGGTGTCAAAAGCAGCGCTAAGGTCCAGGAGTACCAGGACTGAGCACATGCCTTCATCAGCAGACATTAAAAGGTCATTGGTGACTTTAAGCAGGGCAGTCTCAGTGCTGTGGTACTTCCTGAAACCAGACTGAAACCTTTCAAATATTTTGTTATTTTAAAGTACAGTGAGCAGCTGTTTGGACACAATTCTTTCTAGAATCTTTGCAATAAAAGGCAGTTTTGAAATTGGTCTAAAATTTTGTGGGAGGGAGGGATCTAAACCAGGTTTCTTTAAAAGTGGGTTCACGCAAGCCGTTTTAAAATAATCAGGGACACAACCAGTATATAGGGAGCTGTTGAAAACAGAGATCAAATGGGGCCCAACAGAATCTATTACTTTCAGTAAAAACTTTGTAGGTATTACATCAAGTGGGCTGGAGGACACTCATTTGTGATACTGTTTTTAAAAGCTCAGACAAGTGGATGAGATAAAACTGGTTAAAACTCTTTTGTTGCTGGTGAGGAACCTCTGAGTAAGAGGCCACTGGGGTAATAGAGGCTCTGACTGACACCACCTTATTGGTAAAATAAGATAAAAACAATTCACATTCATCATTACTTCCAGCTTAGGCACAAGGAGGGGTTGGGTTTACCAGCTGATCCACAGTCTTAAACAGAAACCTGGGATTGTGTTTATGTGTAGTAATGAGTTCAGAAAAATAGTGTGTTCTCGCATCCTTAACCATGTTATTGTAGTTAATTAATAAATCCTTCAGACTGAGGTAATGGACTTGGAGACTGGATTTTTTTCCATCTGCACTCTGCTTTCCTGCATTCTCCTTTTTAGGCTGCGAATGCTGTCATTTATCCAGGGTTGCTTACTAGCTTTAGACGTAGGCCTAACCTTTAGAGGAGCAGTAATATTTAGTGACGACAAGCAGATATGATTGAAGTGATCGACCAGATTGTTGGTGTTGGAATCAGACAGGTGTTGGCTTTGGCTCTGAAAAAATGCGCAAAACTTTGAAACACTTTGTTCATTAAAGATGCGAGAACACACGGAGCTTGGTGAGGCGGCATGAGTAACAGGCGAATTGCAGCTAAAAACAATACATCTGTGGTCAGATATGGTCATGTCCACTAATTCGACAGAGTAAATGCTGACACCCAGGGTAAAATCCCAGTGTCCAGTGTATGACCACGGTTATGTGTTTGCCCTTTGACATGTTGTTTGAAGTTAAAAGAAGTGGCCATATTTAAAAAGTCAGTTGCATTTACATTGGTGGAGTCATCAACATGAATATTAAAATCGCCACAAAGAACAATTCTGTCATAATTTAAAACCAGAGTAGATAAAAATTCAGGAAGTTCTGATTAAAATCCTCCAGGCGGTTTTGGGGGGCGATAAATTATAACAAATATGATAGGTTGCAGCCCTCCAAGTTTAAGAGGGAGAACTTCAAAGGAGCGTACTTGATGACATTTTAAATATTTCCTATGCACGCTCACTAGCCCACCACCATGACCACTGACCCTCGGTTGACTAAAACAATCATATTGAGGCGGACACAGTTCAGCTAGCTGGCTATAGTCATTCATTTGCAACCAGGATTCAGTTAAAAACATAAAATCTACATTTGCAGACAAGATAAAATCATTTAAGATAAAAGTCTTACTTGAAAGTGATCTCACATTGAAGAGAGCCATTTTAAATGAGTTTGTTTTGGGTGCTGGAATTGGTGAAGATTACTAATATTTCTGTGTGGGATGTGCACATTTCGGTTTACTGGTCTATGCGTGATGATGACAGGAATAGAAGTCTTTGGAACAGCGCTGGGAGCAGACGGCTTTACATGCCAGCAGGTGGAGACAGTTGTTTGTGGCAGTGAGGCAGAGATCTATTCAGTGACCGGTGGTGCGTCCGGGTGCGCTGCATGAATGATTAGTCATTCACGTAAGTCATGTGTGGACCGCACCACATGCTGTATGTGAGCAGCTAACATTTCTGAGCCCCATTTGTTTGGGTGAAGTCCGTCTGTCTTAAAAAGAGGCATTCTTTGCCAGAAAATATTAAAATTATCCACATAACACACACGGTGAGCCCTGCAGGCGGACTGGAGCCAGTCGTGGAGGCCAAGGAGTCTACTGAAGCGGCCAGCACCGCGACCAACTGTGGGAATGGGACCAGAGATAAAAACGGACTTTCCACACTGCTTTAAAAAGTTAAGAAGATCTGATTTTGTCAGTTCAGACTGTTGAAGAGCTGTGTCATTTGTTCCCACATGGACTATCACTCTTGTGATGGAGGACGGGAGCGATGGCATTAGGTCCTGGAGTTTTTTTAAAATGTCAGCCGTGGTGGCACCAGGGAAGCAGTGAGTGGTAGTGTTAAAGAAAAGCATGTTTCTGGTTATGGAGTCACCAATTATTAGTGTGGTTGGGGAGAAAAGAGGACGAAGAGATGCCGGTTGTGGGGTTCCAGAGCAGGACTGAGCAGAATCTGCTTCAACACTGCGTGCGGACTGAGGATGGAGTGTGTGAGCTGCCGAGTGTTGTGTTGGAGTAGCAGTAACAGACCTGAGAGAAGGGCTAGCCGACGGTGCAGGGTAGAGACGGCCTCCGGAGCGTCTGAGCACAGCCTCCTTCAGGATCCTACGTTGGGAAGCGGAGATTTTTGACCGGGATGATGGCCGCCGATCAGGCCCAGCGGCAGACCAGTGGCCCAGCGCGGGAGATGTAGCCGGTGAAGGAGATGCAACAGTGTCGGCAGGCACTGTCCGCTGAAAGAGATCCGTATCAGGGAGACTTGAAGCCGCAGGTGCATCCGCTGGATGGACCGGAGTGTCGTCAGACAGGGCTACATAGCGGTTGGAGAGGCCGATATGCGGAGGAGAGGCAGCCCCGTCCGAGCCTCTCTTGCAGCCACGAACCACCACTTCAGCCCAAGTTGACTGATGCTTTGGAGTCGAGCAGGAGGAAAGCCTGGGAAGGCTAGAGCGGTCCCATAACACGGTGTCCTGGATGTTAGCGGTTGCGCTAAGAGAAACAATCTGTTTGGCTTGTACTGAAGCCACATCCATAAAGCCAGTCAGCAGGGAATCTTTCTCTTTGAGTTCCTTTGAAAGTCGTCAGATGTCTTCCATAAGGTCAGCAATCTTCTTGTTCGCTTTCTTAAGGAGTGTGCAGTCCTCATGGGGCAGAGTTACCTCGGCTAGCATAGTCACCGGAGCTTTGTTGTGATCAGTAGCGTTGATCGCGTTTTTACGGTCATCTAGCTTAAAATCCATGTCGGATGACTAAAATTCTTAACCCACGTAAAACTTAAGTTAAAAACTTAAGTTAAAAACTTAAGTTAAATAAAAAGGATATAAAAAATGTAATGAAAAAGAGTGGATTAAAACTGGAGTCCGGTTTAAGACGGAGCTTCCGACAGGTGGCTACGGACGCCAACGCATGCGCAGAGTGCAGATTACGTCAGCGATCTTGTGACTAACAATAGATTAGTCATACTGACACTCCCCCACAAACACAGGAGAGCCTTTCAGTTTGTCTCAGCGACAACACAGGTACCACACAGAAACTTTTACAAAGGGCCAGATATGTGCTTCTTGTGTCAAAGCTCCAGCAGAGTAGCTGCCACACTGAGTGGGGGTCAGACTGACAGTGTCTCTTTATTTGCCATATCACACACTTGTAAGTGATGTTAGATTGTAGTGAGCAGGGTTTTGGGGTGACAAAGATGATGAGGTGGTGATTTAAAGTGCAATCATTTTATGAAACTAGAATCGATTAAAGTTGTGCCAATTAAAAACTATTTTGGCCGTTAATTTTTTTCAGCCACTGGCAGATAGATCATAAAGTTTATTTTGGAACCTGCTTGGAGTACACTTCTACATCACTGCACAAGGTGAGAAACCAGTGGAGGTCAGAAAATACAAGATTTACAGTTTCTGTTAAGCTGCTCTTTAAAGGGAAGTGAAATAGAAATTAATCCCATATTGTGTATTTGATACTGTTACACCTAGGTGTCTGACAGTGTCCCTAACCTGAACATGGAGGTGAGAATCTTCAGCATTTCATCATAGGTTTCATGCCACATGGTAGCACAAAGATAGATCACGCAGTTCTGTATGTCGTCGTGGCTAGAGAGGAGAAGGAGGAGATTTTCAGCAGAGGTTTTAAACATATCATGTTGTGAACATGCTTATCTGTCAACAGTCTAAGAAACAAACTTTAATCTGTTATGGTGGCTGAGGATACCTCATGGTGCCAATGATTTTGCACAGTAACCACATGTGCAGATACGACTAACGACTAAAACCCCTTCTACGTCCGCACACAATTATCACCTCTAGTGTGTTTTGTTCCCTATACATGTTTAAAAAAACATAGACTGTATATAAAAAGGTTTAAAATAATGAAATTAAATACAAAATAAAGTAATTCTCAGACCCCTCTTACCTCTCTTGGTTTCGAGCTCGTGGCACCTTCATCTTGGTGTTGAGTAGCAGAGACAGGTCAATGAAAGCTGATTCATAGAGTCGACGAACAAAGAGCTGAGAGGTTCTCTCTATACGCTGGACCTACAACATGGTGAACCATAGAGACATTTAGGTGCATGTCTTTTTTTCCGATCTTAAGATAAGAGGCTCCTGTGTTATTGAAATTAGTTGTAGTACACAGACCTAACATTTAATAAAATGTGCCATGCAATATGTTGTGATTTTAAGTTTGACTGTCCAATAGCAACCTATTACAATATACATTTCAACGTTTAATGCTGTATATAAACATGTAAAAAGGAAAAAAAAACTTTCAATAAATAGTTTTTAAAGTACGTAAATAAATCCAAAATTGTAACCCTAATCCTGGGTCATCAGTGCGCATGTGTAGGCGTAGCGTGTGTAGTAGCGTAAGACGAACACTTGCTGAAGAGACCGAGCCTCACTGGCCCAGTTGTCTGCACCTCGCGGGACTTTCGGATAATTTATCACCGTTGATGAACCACAAAAAGAATATTTTGTCATTTTTAAATAGCCAGCTACTTGAAATAGACCTGCGAGGAACGGCGACGTGCATGCAATTGTTGGCAGCACAGAATGCACGCAAAAGTCAGCACAAGACTGGTTAATGACAGGCGAGAGATTGAACATTTGTTATATTGATATTGAAAAAAATTATATCGCAATAATTATTGTTTTATTGTCCAGGCCTACTGTGAGTCGACTTTAGAAAGGCCATGATTCGACTAAGTCATTTAATTTGTAGGGCTGTCCCTGACTAGCCCTACAAATTAATGACTTTTTACCACTTTTCTCTAAAACCTGTTTTTGCGAACTCGTCCCAGATGGTTTCGCCAGTCCACTTGAAATTTTGGCAGGATCATCCAAAGACGTCGCTGATCAAAAGAATTTTGATTCGTCAATCTGTTTTTTCCCCATAAATTTTTACTTTTGTGTTTTTACGTGCAGTTTTACATAAATCAATGTAAATCAAAATTGGCTTAAGCTATTGTAACCAAACTAGATGTGTCTGTTCAGATGCTCCGTCCAAGCTTCGCTGAGCAGTCCTGGGATGTTCTTCCACTTGGGGGCGCTACACTTGCAAAAAAGTTTATACGTCATAATTTGCATCATGGATTTGTACAGAATTTGGTTTGTACAATCTCGGGTCACTGCTCTGTTCTTGCATAAAATTTGGTAATGATTGCTCAAAATGGGCGTGGCTTATTACATCAAATGTAAATTTCTAGACATTTCTCATTCCAAACTACAAAAAATCTAAGACAATCACCCGTACGTCCTAGAGAGGCTGAAATTTTTTTAGCACATCCACTGATTTGTGACTAACGTTTGCTTCACTACAACCTATGATCAATTTAGAAGCCAGTCACTTTGTTTTTCAGAATATACTAAATGAATTAACATATATATCTCCAGAACTTTTTCTTCAAACGCCACCAAAATCAATACAGGTATTCTCTAGATGGCCAATATCAAGTGTTTCAAAGGATTTTTAGATCGGTCTGCAGTGATATTCAGTATTTTGCTATAATTTGTACAGTATGCACAACATTTTCTTTGTTGCTCAGTTTTTGTTCAAATGTCACCAAAATAATTGACAACACACTCAAAACCAACAGTATGATGTGTGATTTATTTCAGAATTTTCTCACTGACATCTTGACTGTTGTAAGCATTTTAAGCTTAAACTGGCAAAACTATCTAGTTCTGGCACATGTGACGTCACTACCTCAACTTGTGAGAAGGTTTGCAAAAACAGCCTCTCACCAGTGGCTTAGTCAGTAAGTCACCTGCTCTGGAGATCTGCAAGTCCAGGATTTAAATCCCCAGGTGACCGAGGCAGACTTGTTAACAATCGGGTTGTTCAGATCATAGTGAGTCTAAGGCAGTGGTCAGCAACTGGCAGACCAGATTGCTGCTTGACACACCTCTGAAAAGCCGTCAGTAAACGCAAAAATAAGCATTTTAGGTTTATGAATGCGGATCAAACGCCGGGATGCGCACACACACTGCAGTACAGACTTTATTGTGAGCATGTGAAAAAGTGTCCTAATAGGCTAATCGATTTGTTTAACAAGGGAGAAAAAAAAGAGTCCCTGGATTTTGGGATCGCTCACACAATCCTCTCAACGGGAGTCTCGCACTCTCACAACTGAGCTAAACGTGCACATGAGTAGGTTATCCAACGGTTTGAAATAATTTTACTATGTTCTGGCCCATCATGTAACAGCTTGAAAAAAATCCGATGCCCGACCCCTGGTCTAAGGTCTCTATTTTACTTGGATTCCTAGCACTTTCTTCTTCTTTCTTCTTTCTTTTCTCTGCTAAAAAGAGTTTATGCAGCTTAAACTATAAATCTTGGAGACACAAAATGTTGTAGGTGGGTTGAACATGTCACCCAGTAGTCAGGTACATATAATGACACTCTCTGATCTCAAGGTGATGCTGTAAAAATCAAGTTTGCATTTCCAGTCCAAATTCTTTCATCACTTTAATCTCTTAAGTCGTCTGTGTCTGTTCTTCTCATCAGAAAATGTCTAATGTTGCATTTTTTTTTACAACTTGCTTGGATCCTGATCATTGCCACTTGCGGCTATATTTTTAGATTAAATGGAGTCTTGAAACTAACTCTGAACCTGTTTTTAAAGCTTATTGTAAATGAAGGGGTATGTGTGTGTGTTGATACCTTGATCTTCCATACGTAGTAGGTACATGTGACGAAGCCTGACCACATACACACTCCCTCCAGTGCCAGCATTAAAAAAGGCCATTGCAAGTAGTAGCTGTCAATCAAATAGTCCATAAACATTTTGGGAACAATATATACGGTGGACTGAATGTGTATATAGATTCCTGTACGTATATTACTTAATATATTGTTATAGCATATTACCTTTTATTCACATTAAGCATATTTATTATTAACTCGCTCATTTACACATGCACACATTCACACAAACATGTACCTGTTGAGTGAAGTTCGACAAATGCTCCTTGTGATTTCCAGTAAAACTACAGGGGTTGTGTTCTTATTGTTCAAGTTGACCAAGCTTTCACAAAATGCTGCAAAGGAAGCATAGCTAATGTTTTAGGATGTTGACAGTAAGTATAATTACTTGTAGGAATAAATTTGCTTTCCAAAGTATAGCAGTAACTTCTTGCCAAAGATGACAATTCACCACAAATGAACAGATCCACAAAGTTTTCAGCTTTCTATTTAAAAACTAAATAAGTTAAACTAAATTGGATTAAAGAAAATCAAATCTAAGCAGAGGATAAAAAATTGTCAGTGTTATCGGTACATTATATAGGATAATGTTAAAAAAAAAAACTCACCTGGGATGCTCCCCTGGTCTGCTCCACTCAATTTTTGTGCCTGGGTTATAAAAAGTATCAGTCCCAGCAGAAGCACTGCAGGTCCTGTGCAACACACTGGCAGCGCAAAACTCATCCTGACTGCATGAATCTTACAGGCCACCACACCAAACCAGTGGCAGGCTGCAGAGCAGAAGGCCTGAGACAGGAGGCAGGGGGAATATTTATTAAGTCTACTAGCCAGTTAGTTCCATTAGATTACAGATGTAAGTAAATACCAGTAAGATCTGATTCTGATCAGTGATTGAGATAATCCTGCTGGAAAAAAAAATCATGTGGGAGATTTTAGCCTTTGACTAAACTGGAAAAGGAAATCAGTCTAAAAGGCTTGTATAATAAATGGTTAAATGGCTATATTATTGCAGTTCTCCCTCAGTGTGTTTGGTGATTTTACACCTGCTTTTATCAGATGTCAAACTTCAGACTGAGTTGTGTCTGCCGCAGTGGTAGATCAGGTGCTGTGGCAATTATTTTGCGCCTCTAAATAATGTTTATTGCATCAGCTCAAATACAGTTTAGATGGTACTACTTTTCTTCAATTTTACTTGTGCAAAACCTTCAGTAGAAATAGACAAATGCAATTTGCACATTTTAGCACCTAAAGAAGGTAAGAAGGTGGACAACGACTCATATGAACATATGGCAATAGATTGTGGTTAAAGACATACAGCTTAACATACACTTGTAAAGAACATACATGTCATGGCAGTTTGAGTTTCCAGTAATTACCCGGTAGATTTGGTTATTGTAATGGAGCGCACTGAGTGGAGGCAGTGCGGGCAGTGCACACACACATACGCATACACTCGCTCCCCGCTCCCTTACAGCCTTAATTAAGCCGTACATAAACGTTACTATTATACATTTTTCCCCTACTGTTTTAATGGCGTGATCAAGGGTGCACACTTGGTAGCTCTACTGTTCTTAAACATACATTTAACAAACATCATAAACACTTACTGTGTCAAGGTGCATAGCAGGTTTGCTCTGTTGTTTCCCGTTCGGTTTGGCAAAACAGGAGCGTAACATTTCTGTCTTTTAAATAGTATTTTCTTGCGCACTTTCATGATCACGTGAACTGCTCAATTATGGTTTTGGTTGTAATAATAATTTATGATGCAAATAACTGTTACAGGGGAAGGAAAATGGTTGTGGAGATTGTTGAAAATATGTCGAAGTGTAATAGATATAAATCCTTTTTCTGTAGTTCATAAAGTGTGTTCATTGTATTGTTTAAATAATTGTTGAGCTTAGTGGGAGGGGCTACTGGCTTTAAAAGTGGCAGCTTTGGGCCTGCAAACAGTCTTGGCCTGGTTACAGAGCAGGTAACTAGTGAACTGTATTTTTGTAAGGAGAGAGAAGTTGAGTTACTGAAGAACCCTTTTTGTAACTGTATTATTGAGAAAGTTATTTATTTTTTTTTTGTTTTGTTTTTTCACTGTTTGCCCCAGGTCGGCATAATAAAAATCACGTCACTATATTTCCGATTACGCCTGTGTTTTTCCTAATTTTGAGGAGTTTGGAGTTTTGGAAGACCCATAATAAATTCAAAATTAATTTGTAACAAAGAAGTATGTGCTCCAGTGATTTCATCACAGAAAAATAAGGGTTGTAGTAATTAAATTAAACAAATGTATGTACATTTTTGACCACAACTGTACCTACTGTCCATTTCTGTTTTTCTGTCTTCCTTACTACCTACCTGTAAGAAAAACACCACGAGTCCTATTTGCAGTATTTCCCAGTCATTATTCTTTAGGTTAAAGTCCGACCAGGTGATAGATTTCTGAATAAGTGCATGGTAGATGAGGTATACCGCCCCTACAACAGAATACAACGTGCCATTGATGTAAAATAATATATAATATACAATAAATACAACATAAAAAGAGAACCATGTGTTAAGGTTAGGTTAACATGAAAGTGAGCTGATTAGAAATTAAATAAATTGAATCTTAGCAATAGCGAAACACAGCGGTGTTTATTTTAAGAATCTGTGTCATTTTTCCAGCATGTTTTTTTGAGTGTTGATAAAGACATTGATGGCAGATAATTACCTATCACTATTATCCTCAAAATACTGCTGATGACAAATGCAAAGTCCCTGAAACCATCCAATTCTGACAGCTTGTCCTGCAGGGAGAAAGAAAGGGATGGAAAAACTGATAATGTGAAGACAATGGTATTTATTTTCAACAAATGGCTCAAAACAGTTCAATATCCATCTGTAACACCTGGCACAGCTGGCCACTTGGGCAATAGAATTTCAAAAAAGTTGCAACAATTAAAATAACCTTTATATATTTTAAGGCAAGGGGTTAGTGCGGGTTTTTCAGCTTTTTACATCACTAGATAGTCAATGGGGTGAATAGATGATGGTGTAAATCCAGTTTTGTGTCAGACTTAAAAAAAGTAGTTTTCTAGTTGGAAGGTTGGAGCAGTGAAGACAGAACAATAGAAACATAAAAAATTATACCTGCATACGGTTAGTAGCTTGCAGTGGATTTTCCCACCAGCAGAGGGAGATCAGGAGTGAAGAGAAAATTCCAATACCAACGTAGACAAAGCAGTCGGCGCTCTGACTATCCACAAATGACGATACACGAACATAGTAGTCAACCCCCAGGAGGCAGTAACCTGTTAATTTGTCAGTTAGTTAGTAAAGTAGTGAGGCAGTTAGTTGCTTTGTAGCTCGGTTTCTGTGTCTGTCTTGTGAATTAGAGCGCAAGCCAATTGACTTTTGCTAAGCCACGCCCCGAATACGCACCTGGTCAATCGCAGCGCAGTATAGTTCTTGCTCTAACTGACGTCCGACACTTTCATAGCTGCGCTCCATTGACTGGTATGCAAAAGGAGTTGTTTTCTAGATGTTGTTTTTTTCTGTATTTTTCCAAGATATGGTCAAATCCCATTCCTGGGGCACTTGAAATAGTTACAGTCGCTACTCAGAGAGGTTGAAAGGAGAAGTACGATTTATTCCCTTTCCAAAACCTAAAACAAATCCAGAAAAATGTAGGCTATTGTTTTTAATATAATGTTAGTTAGCTAACGCTAGCTAAATTACTACTGAATGTAACATTATATATCCCTACTGTTTTTGCTTTTAATGATTGTAATAGTGACTAGAGACCTACCCAGTTTTACAGGAACAGTGTTAATCCTCAATATCTTTGTCCTTCAATCATAAGGTGATGCAGTGGTTCATTTTTACTCTGTGATTGGTAGGCTTTAGCTTCTGTCTTTATTTGTTTCACATCAGTTTCACAGCCTGAATATAACCTTCAAATGTATAATGCAAACCTTTCTGTCTCCTTTCTGAGATCGCTTTTTTAATTTTTTCAAAAATTAGACAATAATTCTCCTGGGAGATGCATTGATAGACAGTAGCAACAGTAACTTAAGGGGGCGTGGCTGAGCAGAGTGTCACATTACTTAAAAAATGCAGTATTTGCCTGGGTAACTAATCAACTAGTGATTGAAAAAAATATACTGATCAACTCTGTTTTCTAAATAGGATGAGCTGTTGAGGTGTTTTTCTCCATCATAGAGCTTGCAACCTACTTTCTAACTTGTGTTTGAATCCTCAAATCAGAACTTGCCCGTGTTGCCATGCCAGTTAGTAAATCTCATTCATCTGAGACCGTGGTTATAATGAGGGTGGCTGATTTATTAAACCAGACATTGCATGGATAAGCACACGTCAACATTGGAAAAAAATTGAAAGAGCTGACTTGACAGATAATTAGAGACATACCTCAGCTCAGTCAAACCTGGAGACACAAACTACAACTGCAATGTGTTTCAAAACAAGTGTGAGAAACATAGCAAAACCATCAGTATGACATCTCTTATTGCACATGTTCTGTGTAGGAGGAGGAGGATAACAGATTGGCATCCTCTTTGTCTTCTTCACCCCATTCCTAGTTCTAATTTGGAAATACATGGCTATTAAACAAATTACCTCCTATGAACTGGCAAACTTTGAAAGGTACATTTTATCGCAGTGTTTTGTGCCAAGCAAGGAGTGAAGAACTGTGTCAGTATCAGATATTCTTCTATTTTTCATATTGGGATAATAACAAACCAAATGGGACTCGACACTCAACAGCACCATTTTAAGAAGGTAGAATTGATCATGGAGTTCTTCTTTTTTGAATGTATTCTTGTTTAGAGTGAAAGTGACTAATATCATAGTATCAAATGAGACAGACAAGCTGGCAGACAGCTTTGCAAGTAGACAGCAAATGTAAAGAAAGTTACCAGCGACTGTGAGAATGAGGGAGCAGATTGGGAACAAGATTTTCCATGTTTCTCTCTGGAGTCTGAATACTATCTGCATAATGGCAGACACAATACAGACTCCTCCGCTGATGAAGAGATTTGTCAACACATCAAACTGAGGCATAACGACTAGCACCAGGACTGAAGTACCAAGAGATACCAAACACTCAATGGCACAAATCTGGGAAAGACACAAAGACACACATCATTATGTCTGCACACTTGAGCACACACTAAAGTTGTGTAAGGTCATGTTTTTGGTTTTGTATAACTGAGTATTTGACAATAATCCATTAGTTATGTTCCTCAGATGATCAGAATCATAAATAATGAACGACAAAGATCAAAACTGATATTGATGTAATATCCTTGTCGTTTACTACCATGTGAGGATGTAAATAAGGATTTATTACATAATTTTATCCACTATCTAATTGTAAATGATATTTAAGTGTGTGTGTGTGTGTGTATATATATATATTATAATATGCATATGCAAAGCAGGTTACATAATAAATACTATACTTTAGAAAAACGTACAAATAACATGGTCCTCATGTTGGGCTGGACAAAGCTCTTGAAGGCACACCTCCACAATGATTTAATAAACACCAGGACGTTGGGGCAGACCAGGCAGAAAACCAACATCAGCATGTAGAACTGTTTTTCCTTGGGGCTGCGCATTGAGGTTGGACTGGACAACGTTGACAACACCAAGAGGGAGCCCTGATTGGACAGAGACCAAAAGCATGTTATAGAAAAGGGAATACATTGTTTTGTGACGGAGCATAGTCCTGTGATTTATCATCAAGAAACAGAGAGAGAAAGGCAAGGCCAAAGCAGGAAGAAGAGAATGGGAATAAATGCAGAAGCAGAGGGGCAGGCAATGCAAACACGCTCATACTCCAAAGTTAAAGATTGATAGAGAGAAAATGAACATTATCTAGAAAGAGGGAGGCAGAGATTCACAAGAAGACAGATCGAGATAAAACAAAGAGATGGGTACAAAGGGGTCAGCCCTGCCCTACCGTAAATAGCACTTGTTCATGTTATGAGTGGCCAGGCGGAGACAGATAACTATTTATGTTTTTGCTGTTTGTGACTGAGCAATATAACATTACCTATGCGGTTTATATATATTTACAACAGCCTTTTTCTTTCCTAATAGCCATAGGTTGGGTTAAATGTTCCCAGGAACAACAACTCTCGGATGTAGGCTTCAGAAAGTGATGCAATTAAAAAAAAAAAAGTATAATTTTAGATCGACAGTACATATTAAAGTTGAGTGTTTCAGGGTTCGACATTAATGTTTTGTGGCACTTGACGTTTGAACAAGTAAACTTACCTTTTAACTGGTCCAGGCACATGAGTCACTTGTCTGGAGAAAAATAACTTTTACTTTACTTTAAATTTGCTTTTTAAAATTTTGTTTGTCAGAATTCAGACAAACAGTGAGCATCTTGTGTCAACATATAAATGATTAAATCATGAATTGTATTAAAATGGCGTTTTTAAACATTTCATCTCAACAAATTATTTTCATTTTCATTTAGATTGTATAATAGGCAATGCTGAGGGATACGAATGAATGTTCAGATAAGCCCTCAGGGGACTTACTGCTAAAAAGCTATACCAACAACCAAAAATGCAATGCCAAAAATACAAATGTTAAACACAGGGAACAGCTTGACGTCTGTGAAGATTCTCAGTCATCCAGGTCATAGTTACCCAAGGTGAACACGGACCAGCCTCGTGACAGTAACTTTTTAACTTTTAACCTGCACTGGGACGAGGGGTGGCTGAAAACGGGAATACACACACTCAAAAGCCGCCTTGCGTAACTGAATGCCTGCCTCTAGAATCCACCAGGCGTCATTATCTGTGACAGTTGACAGTAGCAGTATACTCTGGTGACGGGGTGCACTTTCAGTTTATCAAACAACCAAATCAGGCAGAGCTCCTTTTTCAGGTTGTGGTAGGCGACTAATAGGGCCTGCTTTGGTTGTTGAGCACACTGGGAACTGATCAAATATCGATTCTGATTTCGGTTTAATACTCATTTTTTGCAGTATCGAGACTGAAAACGAGCTTCCTTGTGATCACTTCTGTCGAGCATGTTTCCGTATAAGAATAGTACTTCTATTTGATTTTTATTTACTCATTTGTTAACTGAAAATGCATCAGATTGCACAGCTTTTAACTTTCCCCTTTAAATGTGTGTCTCAGGTCAAGTACACTACCTAGTGCCTCAGCATGAAGATTGGTTTCATTATTAATGTAATAAATGTTGTAATCATTGTTAATGTTTAGTACAGTTATTCAGCTGTTCTCTGCTTCTAGTCTAGATAAGAAAAGTTGTACCTCGTTGTCATGTTATAGCTGTGTTTGAATAAAAATCTAAAAGGTTATGCCCTCAATGTTGGGGGTGGGGGCGCTCAACGGTCGTGTTACTCCGATTGTTTAAATGTCTGTTGATAAGCAGGCATTTCTCGAGCTACAACTATGTATCTGATAGATGGAAGCAGAACAGCAGAAGAAGGATGGATGCCCAAGAAGTTCTGGCAATGACATGAGTGGGGGGAGAATCTGATGGGGGACAGACAACGGCGGACATGAGTTTGTAAGCCTGCGTGTGTGTGTGAGAGAGAGAGAAAGAAAAAGAGAAAGCGCTCCGTTACTTTATTCTCATAGTGTAGGCTAACCAAAACAGCAAGTTATTATTACCCAAACTTTGTTTGTAACTTTCGTACAGCTAGGATAGTAGACCCAAGTGCAAGACTAAGAAAGGCAAGGACTTAGGTAAAAGAGGAATATTGATTGCAGGGTTGAAGTGATCAGATATTGAGCTGGGGATGAGCAAGGTAGAATGGAAGACTAGATGCTGCAGAACCAGGTTGGTGGCTGCTGTACCGAGCAGGGGGAAACTGTAGCAGAAAGTGCGAGAGGCTGTGCCGAGCAGGTCTAGAGCAGAATACGGGAATAGTTTAGCCGGGCAGGGGTCCAGAGATCAGATGGGATGAGCGCTATTTCCAGTAGTGGAACTAAAACAACAACTTTATTATGCAAAATCTGCTTTTAACTTTTATTATAACCTATTAAATGTTCTTCTGCAATAGGCCTAATATAATTATATAAATGTGTTAATTATGTTATTTGTTTGTTGTATCCTACAGTTTACTGAATAATTTTTAAATGTAGGCTATTTGAGTGTTTTGATCTGTAATGAAATTAGGATAAGCAACTGTAACATTAATAAACCCCATAACTGCCACTCTTCCATTGTCATCACTCAGTTTAAAGTGCTCCCACACAGCTAAGGGCTTCATTTTGTTTTCTATTTGATGTGTACTGGAGCCTTACGTTCACTGCTGTGAGCAGAGGTCAGGCGTGTGGAAAAAAGGCCTCAATATTTGAATCTCAAAATTGAAAATCGAATGCGTACCCAACGATCGAATATTCGGGTCCAGCCCTATAAATCAGACTTAATTAATTAATCAGAAACACTATAGGGACTTCACTATACCTTCTTCATCTGTACCTCGACACCAATGATAAAAGATTTAACTTCATAGGTAGGTAGGTAGATAGATACATAGATAGATAATCCTACCTTAGCGATAACGGCACTGGTTAAGACAGCTAAACCCACAATAACAGCCACCAGGTATTGGGCCAGTTGGAAACATCTTCTCTTAGTTTCCTTCTCAGCTCCTACTGGGTTCAGCTGGAATGGATCCCATGTATCCCTGAGACACACATGAACACACAAATACATTAAATGATTTCAGCCATGCCACTGGTATGCTATCTATGAAGGCCAGAGTCAATCCCACCCTCACTTGACCAAGGTGGCAGATCTAAGATGGCAGAATGCCAGTGAGAACCAATGCATTATAACCTGATGCTGGACTTTGAAATGTTTTTTAATTTATAGGATTTACTTTGCATCTATGTGAAACTCAGGGGAAAATTTGTGGTGTGTAGTTTCCTAAATGTGCAAGTTTATTGCCCTAAATCTAGAGGTCAGAGTGTCGGGAACAATGTGATTGCAAAGATGTGGCAGTGAGGAAGGGTTTGATATACGGGAAAAGTCGTAAACAAGAAAGCACATTAGCCTGTCACAAGGAAGTCAGGGGACAGGTCATGATCAGGGTGTGGAGTTGGATGCTGGTGACGATAATTATGATTCATTTATCAGTCTGTCAATAAAAAACTCTTAACACAGACAGGGTTCAGGGTACAGCTTTGGGCACAATTTTTCCCAATGTTCCTGCAGCTGCCAATGCACTATATACAATACTCCCTTCTTATTTTCTTTTTGTTAAGATAAGATGTGCCTTTATTTAGCAGCAGAATGTAAAACAAAAACAATATAAAATAAAAGTAGAATCAGTAAACATCAAACCCAAGTATATAAATATATACACAATGCAATATTAGTTTCTATACTTTTTTTGACTGTCTACTTTATTGTTACTAGTCAGTTTGAATTGCTGTAAGATGATGAACGGTAGGGTTGAATTGATAGGTGTCTATGCTGGATTCTCACCCAAGAAACTATAGTTTCAAGCCAATTAAGCCCCCAGAATACCTCTGATTATACTCGTGCTTTTTGGCACTATAAACCAAACTAATGAGGTTTGAGTGTCTTTCAGCTTTTCCCCCACTGCTGGCTGATTAATGTCAAGGACATAATAATTCTCAGGGTGTGGTTTTTCTACTTTGAATTGTTAACACTTTGTGATCTTTGACTTTGTCATAGCAACTATCAAAAAATACTAGCAAGGCCAGGTGAATCTTCGCTGCATGTCTACAGCCACGCTGGCAGAAGGTGTGTTTGGGAGATGTGCAGTAATACAATGACTCAAATAAGTATCTATTACATAAATAACCATGAAAAGCTGCTGATTTTGGAAGAGCAAAGGCACTTTTTTAAGAGAACTTTCCGTTGTATGAAAACCAGTTTGTCAAAGGCTAGGGGAAATATAATCACCATTTAAACACGTAATGTTACGAAAACATGAAATTTTTCTAATCATGTAGAGGATATTTGAAAGAAAATCTAAACCCAGGAACAAGCCGATTATTTTCACTTCAGAGCTACCGCTATGCACAATGTAATTAAAGCTGTAGTACGTATTTAACATTTTAAATGGAGCAGCACTCCCCTAACAGCAGTCAGTATCTGCGGGGATGATATCAGCCACAGTAATAAAGAGAAGCACAGCAGTGCACAAGGGAAATTAACTGTTTCCTCAAACTATAAATTATACCAAATAGAAACCTGGTAATGCAATACTTTATGAGAGATCACCGGACGAATAATTTAATAATGAAATCCATTACCAATATCTATCTCACTAACAATTAACCTCTGAACAATGATGAAGAGGTTAATAAACTGTGATTATGTGCCTATGGACAGGAAGTGGAATAACTGCTTAGTTCAAAGCCGCATGGTGTGCTTCAATGCAATTCAAGTGCTTTCTTTTCTAAATTTGTCTCACTCTGTCTACCTTTAAAACTTGGTGACATGATAAAGATAAAGAACTGTGGCAAAATGGGCCACAAGAGCTTTTCAGATATTTCTCAAAAGTTTTCTCATAGATAAATCTCAAAAACTTAAAAAAAAATTATGCCATATATAGCCAGTTTTTTGCCAGTAGCTTTCTTTTTTCATAGACACTTCAAACCAACTTTACGTTCCTCCTCCTCTTCCTCCCATTATATAAACAAGCTGTAGTTTTAAAAAAAATAAAAGCCTGCAATATGGCAGTTAATGCAGTTGTGAATTGCAGTTACCCACTGTCAAAACAAAAAATAATATGAATACAAATAGCAAGACAGATATTTTTGTGACATAAATGCATATAGCTACAAATAGTGGCTTTTCATTACATCCCCTAATGAAAATTTCAAGTGGAATATTGAATGTTTACACAGGTTATTTCTACAGCAGCCTATCATGCCTCTACAGCACAGACCTAGTTTTGTCCACAACAGCCTCACAATGACAGCATGTGTTTCACGAATAAAAGTAGCCCCCAGAGAAGAAGATGGATTTCTGCTGCCTAAAAATAAAGTGCCAGCAAGACACTTCTTCCCCCCCATTGTATATATTTGATCAGGCCAGCTAATTAAGATCAAACTGTGGTAGCTGGGCTCAGTGGGCTGCCGTTCACAAATGTGATGTGTATTTAAATTAATCTCATTTCATTTTGTGTCTCATCTGTAATCACTCACTGTCTTAAATAAAACAGAAATTAAACATGACTTTCAAAAAGCATCACATACTGTAGAGTAGTTTTTACCTGTGTCTTCCCTCTCTTTTCTTTCCTCTGTATTTAAGTTCTTCCATCTTGCTTGTCTACTATGCTCCGTATGGTGGCCTATGTAGAGTCTGTGTGTCGAAGAGGAAAAATATTCAAACAGGAAATAAGTAATTTTTTTCTGACTGATTACATGCAGTTTATTGTGTATTTGAAAATGAAATTATGTCACTTTGAATTATAATAAAATAGAGAAAACCTTACCTTGGTATCTTGATATTGAAGACTTCAGCGATCCACCCCTACCTACAGTTCACCTCCAACTCACAAAATGTTTTCCAACCTCAGATATCAGCAAAGTGATTTCAGTCAGAGTAGAATGAAATGATGTGAAATCCCACATCATAAGTGCACATTTTTAAATTACTCTCATTTTACTGGAAACCAAATGTCGAAGTCTCTGTCGATCTGTCAGTCGGTTTGTTCTTTGTTCACCTGTTTGTCTGTTATCACTAGTTTATGTAAGAGACACCCATATACACAGGTCCAGCCCTCCCAGGTGTGTGTGTGTGTGTGTGTGTGTGTGTGTTCTGATGACCTAAGTTTATGGAAGCTATGCAGACCAGAAAGTGTGTATGTGGGTTTGATCGATTATTGACTGTTTATTGAAATGTTACCATGAGCATAAGATACTGTAACCACCCAACATGAGTAAGGTTTGTGTGTGTGTGTGTGTGTCTGTGTGTGACTAATCAAAGTTTGTCAGTGACCAATTAGGTTATCTATTCAGTTCTTATGGTGGCAATAAAAAGGTACAAGGATCATTTACATTGAGACACACACACATCCCAGGACCCTATTTTCACTACTTCACG